GTAATGTTAAAAGCACCGAACGTAATGTTCAAAGCACCGAACGTAATGTAAAAGCACCGAACGTAATGTTAAAAGCACCGAACGTAATGTTCAAAGCACCGAACGTCATGTAAAAAGCACCGAACGTAATGTTCAGAGCACCGAACGTAATGTAAAAAGCACCGAACGTAATGTAAAAGCACCGAACGTAATGTTAAAAGGGCCGAATAACAAATGCCCCGAACGGAAAAGAGCCACCAAAGGCAGTAACCGCGTTCCATACTGCACAGCTTAACTTTGTGCGATCTTACGTCATCGCAGCTTTCGCGGCCAGTTTGGAATTGGCTTCCTCTCCGATGACGACGGACTGAGCAACAACACAAAGATATCGAACTTCTTGAAATTTGACTGTTTTGTACGATCGCCGACCGCCGCAGTATATTCCAACATTGAATCGATAATTAATAGTTAATACTCTAAACAAAGTCATATTACCATTGACAACTATGGCTTGGCTAGGCCTAGCTTGGCTTGGTCTAGGCCTAGCTTGGCTTGGTCTAGGCCTAGCTTGGCTTGGTCTAGGCCTAGCTTGGCTTGGTCTAGGCCTAGCTACGACGAATCAAGGCAGTCGCGAGAAATTAGTACTGAGGCTAAATCAAATTTTGCCTTGGGTGCCCTTTTATACTTGAAATTTTGGCCTTGGTGCCTTTCCATTTGGCATTGGTGCCTTTCAAAATCATGTCATACCGGAGGCCATTTGGCCTGCCCATAAAATCCCCAAATTCGAGGCCTGCACTGTCATTTGGGGCCATTTTTACCAGGCCATTTTTTCCTGGGTCATTTTTCCGGGGCCATTCTTACCATACCCCCGAAAACAACCACCCACTGTTAACGTGAGAGGTAAATGGCTAAGAAAGCTTATACAATTGTTCAAAATAGTGTTTATTTATCCTAGCATTCTCCTTGGTTTGTATGCTTCGAAATTGAAGTGATCATCACCATCCTATTTGGGTTCTTTACTAGATTTAGGGTGAGTGATTTTCATACCAAAAGTGCTCTATTTTTTTCACATCCCTGAAGAGGAGTATATAGGTGAGTGATAGTGTGGTCCCTATACAGAATTTTTTTAGTAGACATAGATAGTTTGTAGTAGACAAAGTCTATTTTTGTAGATGATAATAGGCTGTTAATAGATTTTTCATGTCTAAGGATTTCCTCCTTTAGTACTACCTTAATAGTAGTAACTTAGTAGGCTTTGTCTACTGATGATAGATCACAAATAGTTTATTAATAGTTTATACATATCTATTTATTACTGTAGTTGGTATTTATTAGACTTATAGATGGGCATAACAAAGGGTTGGCAATAGTAATATATCTATTATTAGATAGGTGCTAAATAGTTGTTATCAATTTATAATTTTATGTTCATAATTTTATAAGTAGGTTTGTGTCTAGCTATTTAAGAAGATATTATGTAGGCCCAATAATTAGATAATATTAACATATTATTAGCAGATTCTAATTAGTTTTTGTCAATCTATTAAGGGGACTGATAGAAATATTTTTACTTTATCAATAGACCACTGATAGGTAGATGGTAATATAGTTTAATAATAGTGATTGTTTTTGAAAACCTCAGCGAAATATGCTAGTGAGGCGAAAAACTACTAAAATCTACTGAAAACCTACATATTAGTAGGCGTTTAATAGTCAGTAGTGCCATATGGCTAAATCTACTAAAAATGAGTAAACTAAGGAATTTCGGTATGAGGGAGTGCAATCGCTTGCCTCAAATCACAAGCCCAGCACCTAAAAACTTTGTTCAACCAGATTTCTATTTTAAACTATCAATTTTTATCAACTATCCAAAAAAACTACATCCATCCACAATAACACAGTTAGCCAATCAACCTTGATTTTGTTTTGGGAGAACATGTTGCGCAGTATGGTATGGTACTGTACGTCTTCACAAATATAAGGAGAAAGCAAAAATCTTTACTGTACACAGTTGCACCTAATTATGGTATAGTTAGCAAATCACACATAGGGCGATTGTTACCATTACCTAGTATCATTTCTCAGCGACCATTGAAAAAATGCAGGGTAAAACTAAAATAAATAAGAATGATGCTAGTTATATTGTTTACAATTTCTATTTGCAAAACCAGTTGAGATTTGTATTCAACTTTGGGTCAACAAACTGCATGTCACTCTGTTCCGTTGCTCCATTACCGGAAAGATGCATTATTTATGTAATATCATTAATATGTATCAACCACTTCTCAAATCAAAGGTAGCTCAATAAAGGTTTATGAATACTGAAATATATAATTATCCTTAGAAACTCATTTAAATAATCCGTAGAGCTTTGGCAATATCTATTTTGGTAAAAAAAAAAACCATGTCAATTTTGCATCACTCTGTTACTGAAGTTACAATTATTCATATTTCATATTTCTGATGGATAATTTTTGTAAGGTACATATTTTTAGAAATATAGTAGTAGTAGTAATAGACACTTGGTAAGTGTTTGTTGGGTGAGAATATATTTTCTGTGCTACATCTGTTTAAAGTTTAAATTATTGGAAATGTCCTTTAATAACTGTTTCCGTGACAGGAATTGAACCCATGACCCTGGGATAGCAAAGCAAGTATCTTTCTACCAAGATTTCCAGGTTCACTAATTATTTATTATTAATGATGATAATAATAATCTTGGGAGTCGATTTTGATGTCATTTGTTGTGAAAAATTTTTAATGTGGCTAAGATTTCATTTTTAGTATATGCATTATTCTCTGTGTGAGGTCTTATTATGCAACAAGCAAAAAACAGTTATCATAGATATGAAGAAGCAAATTCTAGACCTGATTTCTTACTAGCAATTCATTTAGATTCACTCTACCTTTCACTACCATTATTATTATTGTCCTTTACACTAACTTACTTCTCGTGAGTCCATCAATGATGTTAAAAAAAAAAAACATGTATAGACAGAGTATATGACAGATTAATGATAATTTATTGTTTTCTTTTTATTTACTAATACATGCATTAAATAGATTCTTATTTTGAAATGAGCATTAAAGGATATTATTTTAATATTATAACTATTTTTATTTTATTTTATGTATTTACTATACATGTATTTACTAATACATGTATTAAATAGATTCTTATTTTGAAATGAGTATTAAAGGATATTATTTTAATATTATTACTATTTTTATTTTATTTAAAAAAAAATAACATATTAAAATTTATCATATTCATTTTAATTATTTATTTTGTTAAATAGTGGTTTGTGGGACTGGGCCTGTAGCCATTGTGTGATGACAGGATGTGTGGCCTGTAGATCTGAAGATTCTCTCCACAGCCATGTAATGCACAGTGACAGGTATGGTATCCCTCAAATTATCAATATTTGACCTCCACTTATGCATAGCACCAAAATGTGTGTGATATCAATTAGAAACACAAAGTGCATGGTGGTTTGTTCTCATATCTTCATATATCATTGATTTTGCCTAACATAAAAGCAATACTGAAATACAAGAAGTACAGTAAAGCTGCAAGGCAGGTTTGCTGAAATGTTATAAAATAAATAACAGTCAAAGTCTTTTAAACCACGTAAAGAGAAAGCCATCTAATTTTAAACGAGGAACATAAGTATGGGGTGCCATACGCAGCAAAAGTCCATGTTAAAATCAAAATGTAATTGCAAAATTCAATGTCTAATTTATTAAAACGTAGGCGTAAATTTCTCAAAATGTAGATCTATTTTTTCAAAATGAAGTTCTAATTTTTCAAAACGTAGTTCAAATTTTTCCAAATGTAGTTCTAATTTCTTTAAAATGTAATTCAAATTCAAAACGTAGGTCTGACTTGATCAAACACCCTCTCCAAATTATATTTCAAAACGTAAATCAAAAACCAGCCTGGTTTGAAATGCATTTTACAACAACACTAGAAATAGACTTTTGCTGCGTATGGCACTGGACTTGCGAAATGTAAATCAAAACTAATCAGCCAAGCATGACGTGGGCCTGTTCCATTAACGATGGGGGAATCATTTTTCGCTGCAGTCCAATGCCGTGAACAACGCTTCCCAGTGCGTCTGCTAATTTTTAATGGTCAGGCTACCGCGATCACGAGCCCTATGCTTGGCATTATAGGTTAGGCTTATGTGGGCTGGGATTTGCAACAAGGTCTTGGACGAGGCCTCTATATAGTAGGAGGACTAGGCCTCTATACTATAGTAGGACGCCTGGTCCTAGTCTAGGCCTATAATATATAATCTGTATAAGTAGTCATGTGATTACAGGTTTACATTGTACCAAGATCGATATTAACAATCGCATTTATTTTTCATTGAAAATAAAAGAAAACTTCAAATAATTTAACTTAAGGATTTTAAAATATTCCAAACCTGTACGCTTAAAAAAAAATAAAATAAAAAGTAAATAAATAAAGTTAACTTAAAACACAAACAACGCGATAGGATATAAAGATTGAGAGAAGTTTTGGTATTCTGTACTGTATTTCTGAAGTGCCATTCGTTTTGGGGTTGCTACCACTATCTATTTCCTTACATTCCAAAAAGGAGGATTGGATGCTATTTAAATTTGCTGGAGATTGAAAAATTAACTGTTAATTCTCTTGTTAGAGAACATAGAATGGTACATGACTTTCGGACTGGTATGCCTTTAGTAGCCCTATGTACTCTAGGTGTAAATATATACAAAGAATAGGCCAATTTTAGTGAGAACTAAACCTGTTTTGATAACGTAGGGCCAATATACAATGCAAAGCAAATTGATCACAAAATCAGAAGCATGATTTCAAACATCAGAACCCAGCTTTTATTGTTTAAAACTGTCGGGGCCCCATTGAGCGAAACTACGGTATTATAGTTTATATTATATTTTTTAAACTACAATGTCGGGGCCCCTCACGCCTGGGTCCCTGGCGCCCTCTTCCCCTGTCAGCGCCCGACTGTGGCGTCACTGATTGTAACAACTGCAGATTGTAGCAACCCCAAACGAACGGCGCTTCAGAAAATACAGAACAAGTATACAAATTATTCTCGCAAACTTTATATCTATCGCGTTGTTTGTGTTAAGTTAACTTAATTTATTTTTATTTTTTGAAGCGTACAGTTTTTTTTTGAATATTTTAAAATCCTTAAGTTAAGTTTTTTTTTTTTTTATTTTCAATGAAAAATAAATGCGATCTTTAATATTGACCTTGGTACAATGTAAACCTGTAATCATATATGATTACTTATACAGATATTATAGGCCTAGACTAGGACCAGGCCTCCTACTATGGTATAGAGGCCTAGTCCAAGACCTTGTTGCAAATCCCAGCCCACATAAGCCTAGCCTATAATGTCTAGCATAGGGCTTGTTTTCGCGGTACACCTGACCATTAAAAATTAGCATACGCACTGGAAGCGTTGTTCACGCATTGGACTGCAGCGAAAAATGATTCCCCCATCATTAATGGAACAGGCCTACGTCACGCTTGGCTGACTAGTTTTGATTTACATTTCGCATGTCTTGTGTTGTTGTATTTCAAAACAGTCATGCCTGGCTGGTTTGACATGGACTTTTGCTGCTTATGGCACAGACACACAAAATGTAAATCAAAACTAGTCAGCCAAGCGTGACGTGGGCCTGTTCCATTAATGATGGGGGAATCATTTTTCGCTGCTGTCCAATGCCGTGAACAACGCTTCCTCAGTTCGTCTGCTAATTTTTAATGGTCAGGGTACCGCGATCACAAGTTCATGCCCGTAGGCAGGTGGGGGGGGGTGCAGAGAGTGCGGACGCACCCCACAAATTCCAAAAGGTCCACATTTTAAAACCTATGAATACACAAAATCGCTCCTAATTATTACAAAATGCTATAGCATGCATTGCATTATATATTTGCCAGCGTATCTAACCGTTGATTTTTAATAATGTGGCATGAAATTTGTTAGAAATTGATCGTCTCCGGTGATCGCAGATTGATCTATATAATATGAAGAATGTTATCTATAGGCATGCAGATGTACAGGACATAATAACGTTACTTTTTCAGGTCCCAAAAACACCCAAATTAATGAAAATTTAAATGAAATATTAATGAATTATGTGTTTGAGAAATTTATTACGCAAGACCCTCAAAATGCTACTTTGTCACTTTTCTCACAAACCCCCTCCAGGCCTCTGCCCCTGGACCACCCAATTTCAAAAAGTTTACTTTTAAAACCTATTATTTCACTAAAATCGTTCCTAATTATCGCGAAATGAGTGCATTACATTTTTTTGCCCGGTCTTCTACCCGTTGATTTTTAATAATGTGCTGAAATTATCAGCTCCAGTGATTGCAGATTGATCCATGTCATCGGTAGGCCTACAGATGTAAAGAACATGAAAAATTACAATTTCACAGTGGTGGATTCAAGGGAGAAGAACCCCCTAAAATTATAAAAGAAAAATGGAGAAAAGAGAAAAATCATCATTGAAGTTTGTCTGAGAGTCCCCTTTCCGGGCATTTTGAGGTGCCATAATCATAAATTTTCTTACCTCAGCCCTAGTCATGGTGGGGCTGAGGTGGTATTGACCATCTGTCTCAAGTTCCTCCCTTCACCCCCACCCTCTATTTCTCCTGCTTTTACTGTAGGTCCCTAGACAATACTCAAATGAATGAAAATTTAAATCGCGATATTACAAATTATGGATTTTAGAAATCCATTAAAAAATGCTAATTTTTCAGAGCTTCCAGAAGATTCGCCCCACCCTCACGGGGACCCCTAGGCAGTCGCCCATCGTAAGGTCCACTTCGGTTGCAAAACGCACCTCCCCATCGAAAATCCTGCCTACGGCCCTGCCCTATGC